ATTGAATTAATCATGGGTTGCATTCCGTCTCAAATGCAATTTGGCAAAAAAAATTGCACAAAATCTCTGTTTCATTCAGGTCATAGCGATTCTGTACGACAGTCTTTCCAAAGTTCGAGAAAAGAAACCATGTCACAAATGATGCCAAAGCCGTTAAGATGACTATTCTTCCCTGGTTGAATGCAATGTATTTCAACGTGATTCGACCGATAGTTCTCGCGCAATTGCGCATGCATACTTTCACATGCGCAGATGAACTTATTGCGTTCTATCAAGGGAGAAATGACATTCGTCCTCGGAATTGCACGAGCTAATCTTACTTAGTACGGAAGTAGCATACAAACGAAGGGGCAATTCCCCCCCCCCCCCTATTACGAATTCCCGTCTCTTTCAGGTCGAAATTTCCCTTTCCAGATGTATGTGGATTTTGCTCATTTTTACGGAGATGACGATCTCAATGTTAACACATCACTTTACATCACCTTTGAGGATAGGACTTGAGATCCATAAGGATTTCCTCGAAAAGACTTTCCGCTTTATTCGCGCTTGAAAATGATTTCATGACAAGTATCACTTCGCGCTCTTTGTCGGTGGTTCGCAACATCACGAGCGAAAGTTTCGAACATTATTTTAAACACTCATTTCGAAAAGTCCCAGTCGCTTGATCTTTCTGAGCACCTATAAATGGCTCTGTCTTAAAACTTTGAAAGCAATGGCTTTCACAATGACTTTTATTTGCACAAATGGCATCAATCGTACCGTCCGCACCAGAACACGCTCGTTCTTACAGCTCATAGAGGAGCTCAAACTCGACGGGGACTGACTCAGATTTAGTTCATGTGGTCGAACCAAAACATGCAAAAATGAAGTAAAATCCACAATGTCCACTGCATACAGGGATAGCTTTATTATCCTCCATGAAGATGATAGATAGAGAAATGTCTACAGATTTTCCAATTTCCTTGGCATAACATATCGTGTATGATACCGCGACGAAGACAAAGATCAGCTGTCGATAAATAGCCGGCGTTCGTCCCCGGGAAACGCACATCCAAGCTAGCAGATATGTGCATTCGAACGAGGGGGGAATGAAGCGAGACTCCGATCGCTGGATGCAGTTTCGCTCGAGGAATCCAAGAGATGGAGACATCGTGGTCGCTATATCACACAATGATTAGGTTCGTGAAGAGAAAAATAACAGAAGAGAACAATCACGGTTAATGCTCTAGTGGTTCCCTCGATCCAGCTGTGGGTCTCTCTGAGAGGTCGGGAGGACACGGACAGACTAGACGGCTCGCACGCTCGCACCCACTCGAATCTCGATGGAATGCACTTTTACAGGGGTGTATCTAATCACATATGGGAGCATTTGCAACTCTGGGCAATACAACGATGCAACGGCATAACAAACAGGTGCAGCAAAGGGGAAACAGAGAACAGAGAAGAAAATATCACATATTGACCTTAATGTGGGCGAACCTCTGTTCGAGGCACTAACATTAGACTGAAGGGAAGTGATGTTCACAACAAGCAGAGAAAGAAATGAAGAGAAAGTAACTGAGACCAAGTGACAATTTGAAACTCTTAAAAAACAAAGGATGAACCAAGGATACCGGTGACAATTGAAGAAATCAATTGGAGTCTCCTCCGCTCACAGAAAGAACTGAAACAATGAAGACACGACACAAATGAGATCATCGATGCAAGACCAATTATTTCACGCATTGGCGAAGTGCCTCTCGAGTCGAAGAGTATCATGAGACGTGATAATACTTATCGTTTACACGATGATATAGGCTCCTTCCAAGAGCCCCAAAGATTTGCCAGCCATAATTTACCATTTTAAAATATAGTATAGGCGAAAAATTCAGTGACCCTAGAAGCACCGTGACTGCAAACACTTGTCAAACACATTTCATCAAGAATGAATGCACAGTATTATGAGGGGCATAGAATTGAACACAAAAAGCTTGTGTCTTCAGAAATTTGCGTGAAGTAGATAAAGGTGCATAAAGAGGAGTAACAGGCCATGCATACATGCAAAAAGGTGATTATGGAGTAGAGACAGGGAGAAGCTCGGAGCTGGCGATCCGCAACCAAGCCCCAAGGTTATGCAGGGCCCTGATGAGTCCCATCGGATAACGGAGGAGCTTTTCCTGATGTCCCATTCTTGTCCCCATCACCTCCACTTTTATTCACGGCAACAACTATAGAGATTTCCCACACATCAATCAAATCACACGATCATTTGCATCACCCCGGCCAACTTCCCACGACTCAATTGCTCAAATGAGGACAGAGGGGATTAACTATCGATGATGTCATGCAATACAGCAGAGCAGGCTTATCACATCGAGTAGCTTCACTCGAGCATACCGTCGTGATACTTAACGTAGGCAACATACATAGGACATCGATATTTGAGATTGTTACAAGTGAGATCAAGTCTGTGAAAGCTGATGAGTCAGAAATCTGACAGCGTCACAAATTCATACAATGCAGACAAACACCATCCAGTCTTTCGTACGTGTCCCGGTTCGGTCGCTCCCGACGAAGATCCTAACGTGAACGTTACGAGATGCACCCGCTACACTCAAATGCCATCACAGTGTCATCCAAAGTTTGTGGAACAGAGACACAGCAATCTCAAACAAGAACAGACTCCAATTGTGATCCCAGAAATGCTCACTGGGGGAAACATGAAGCAAAATAGAATTAACTATGTATCAGAAGTGGTATGAGACTGACATGGAGGATGTAGGCTATGAAAAAAAAGGGAGAAAAAGATGAGTCAAGGACACATAGTGAGTTGTATGTTAGTCATCCTGATCGATCCTTCAGCCGCTTCCCACACTAGAGGCTGCATGCGAAGAGAGGGAAAGACATATCAGTCATATAGTCTTGAAAGAGCTCACAAGAGCTCCTATCCTTTCATGGAGTAAGGCCCACTTCATACTCCTGCTGTAGAGCATGCTGAGTGTAGTAAGCAGCTGAACCCAATTAATGGGCAGAATAAAGTATATGCTATTTGAAGGAAATACAGCATTGCACCTACTGCACTGAATGACTTACTGAAACCACAGAAATAGGAATGGTTTCTATGGAAATCAGTATCTTGTACAGCATACATTTTTTACTTGACACCATGGAACACCATGTGACTACACAGGACTTTGCAGCACAAAATGCAGCAATGGTATCCAGAATGCTACCAGCACAAGTATGAACCAGGCCCAACTTGGAACTTTCAGCTGCTATGCATTTCAGTAAGAAAGAGAACTAGGTTGCCAATACAATGGAAGTTCACAATGCTGAGGTGATGTGAGAAGTCAAAAGTAAAACTAGGTTCTGGACTACATGGACTGCAGATATGCATGCTGTTTCAGAATGAGGTCTGTAATCCACATCAGTGCTGCTCCCTAATGCAAATCTTGCAATAGGTATGAACACCATGCAATATATTTCTGATTCTCAAGTGTTCAAAGAAAAACTATAATAAACTTTCCCAGTTTTCCCAGACACCCTTTTCAAGATGATGGCATTAGGTTACAACAGTTTTGAAGCTGTACATGATGATAGGTCCAGAAGCTTCATTTCCGCACCAAGATTCCTGACATCAGAAAATCCACCTGCTCTTGCTATATATTTATTTGCACAGAAAGGTGCAGTAATCCCACTTGCTACAGCATCGATACACGGTTAAGCTGCAGTGAGGCCAGTGCTCAATGAAATTTGATTTTAAACATCTGGGTAAGATATCTATGTTCCTTTTAAAAGTTTGTTCAGATGATTAAAAAGGGTTAAATATTCCACATAACTGGCTTTTCATAAAATACATGAGTGACAATAGTGGACTCCTATACATGAAGAGTATCCATTCCAGTCTACAGAATATGATTCTCAAGCTCTGTGGCTCCTAATACGCATGCAAAACCTTCTAAAAAAAAAAGGCTTCATTCTGTTCAAGTCACTCCTTAGAAGGTGAAAGACTCTCAAGGCATCATGATCAGGTAAGAAGGTACACAGGACAGCACCTAAGCAATTGGTGCTCTCATGTAGAAGTTGCAGGAAAGTAAAGTAACAAATAATCTGGGGATATCTCAAAACATACATGAAAGTAAGATTTTTTTTTATTACCTAATTTGCAGTACCAGAAAAAAACTGGCTATAAAACTACGAAAAAGATAAATTTATACTAGCTTTCATCATGGCATACCCAAGAGCAGATCAGATGGGATGGTTTCCAAATAATTAACTTAAGTTTCCTGCATTTACAGGCTTGCAAAATCAGTTTAGGAATATGTTTTCCATTTGAAAGGCTCTCAGCCCATGATGATGATGCCTTCTTTGAAAATGTCATGGAAATGCACCATGCTTTTTCTACCACAATCCTGGCCGTACCGGTATCACAGCTGCAATGATGGGGCGACCATCATCAGATTCAACATGCTTCGTGAATTGCCATATCGACATGCTCCTAGCAATGGTGACTGGGTGTACAATCTATGGAATTCATGCAAGAGGTGCATCACTGGTTAGGAGTTAGAAAGAGGCCTTTTTGACCTCACGTGCATCATCACCTGTTCGTATCCTATTTATACACCATCTGGAGATAGGTGTATAAGCTGACACACAATCGGTCCTTTTACATGAATTGCACTGGAAAACAGAAGCAGTGGGATTAGTCATAAGTGAAAAGCATTCCAGAATCCTGATTCAAAATGGTTGAATCAGAGAATGACAGGAATTACTATCTCCTACATATGCAAAACACTGTAATGACTTTCCTGATTCTGAAGAGCTACTTTTCTCCTAATTATCTAGATTGATAGTGAAAGGGGAAAAACAACTTCACGTACTGGATATCCTTTCATATTTACAATACTACTCTTGGCCAGAACTCAAGCAGATTAGAATGACCAGGGAAGTGCATCTTGGATGACACATTGTGGTGGAGAGAGTTGAGACCTCAAATCTATTTTGTAACTATTCTAAATACTTCCTAGTCACAATATTTTGGAAATGCTAATTTTTTGGCATTCTATGGCACTTTTACAATCACCACCTCTAAAAGACATTAACTTTAACTTCTTCTCAGCAATAAATGAGGTTTAAAAAGGCCTTTATTATCACCTAAACATAATAATACAAACTAGGGCTTGTCTTAACAAGAATTCAAACATATTCAAGATTGCCTGACAAAGAAATGTAACAGAAATCTTAAAACCAAATTTAACTAAGTCTACTACTTCCATGTGTGATTCCAACATTTATTCATATTTGGTATTGGATGACAGAGCGACTTGAATTAGCACCTACAGGAACACTCAAGGGAGATTCAGCAACATGGGGTAAAATATTCTCCCAGACTGTGATTGCTACATAGAGGTCTGACACTTCCAAGCCAATTACTCATATCTGCCTTGAATTCTGGTTGCAAGAATCACATATCTTATCACAAAAGCGAAATGATATATCACAAATATGAATGGAACTTCCTCAGCATTTTACCATTCTCCAATTTGAAGATTAGTTTTCAGCTTTCCTTCCTTATCTTGCAGAGCAAATGTATTATCAGTACTTCCCTTCACACAAGAATACTATTCGGTGTCAAAGTAATTTCCAATATATTTACAAAAAATATCCCTGAACCCCAAGCAAATGCTCTCATATAGAGAGGGAGATTAGTTACTTCAAAGGGGGTTGAACATTTTCATAGCACCATAATGCTAACACCATTTTCACCTATCCAAGTTTTGATAGGAAAGTCATGAATACCCAATAAATCCATGATCCCTCCCAAAGAAAGTCCAAGACTGATTATGTCATAGCAAGATGAATTCGTGAGCCATGAACTCATGGGTCTCAAAGAAAGAACCATGAACTCATTGAAGATCTGAAGCATACAAAACTTTCCACGAGATAAAAGACACAAAAGCTGATGAAACTGAGAGCCATCCAAGAGACAGCAACAAAAGCCTGGGAGGGAGGAAACTGAGAATATGGACAAGTCAAACAAAGAGTCAGCTAATAAAGCTGTTAATAAGTACAACCACCAGCAAACAAGCCAATCAATAAAAATCAAGATGAAAGAAGTAAATACTGTCAAGAACAGAATGAAAGCAGAACAAAAAATAATGGAAAATAAAAACTCACTTATAATAATGATAATGATAACAAGGACGATGGCAATCAAGATCAGCCACATCTGAAAAATAAACACAAGACATATGTATCACACTCACCAATAATAATGATCAAAATGATGAGTCCAATCACTCCCATTATGATCATCATCTGGAATTAAAACATAGCCATTTGTTCACTTGTTCCCAAAAATGGCTTCCAACTACATCAGCCAATGAAAACCCCAAAAGCCCAACTAGAAATGAAGGGTGAAAATCCATCTCCTTTAATGCCAGAATAACCAAGGGGACATTTCACCCCTTTTAGGGAAGTATCATTTGAAAAAATGTGAATATCTGAAAGGAGAATTACTCCTTTTTTTTTCTTTTTTCAACAGAGGCAACTCCAATAGTGGGACAGACATTTCAAAGAGCAAGCAAGATATGGAATCTGAATTCTCTTGGGGGCCAATTTGACCATAACAACCTTAATAGGCATATTTTCTGAGTCTTCTTTAGTAAAAATTGAAATGATTGAACTGAAAATTTTCATTTTCTTGGGATTCTGCAAAATAATTTTTTTTTTAGATAGTAAAATTAATGTATGGGCCTTGGAACTTCCACACTTCAACAACATGGCTCTTAGTTAGGCCCAATGTTAGAGGTCTTATTTCACTGTTCCATTATTGGTCAAGAATTCAACTAAATGTTTTATAAGAGCTGCACAAGCACAACTCCATGGAAAGCCCTTTTCCTTCAATCATATGGAAAGATAAATTTCAAATATTTGTGGAGGAAAAAAAAAAGTTCTCTAAGATAGAGAACAGCAGGCATTTTTTAAATACATAATTATTCAGCAACAAAAACTCTACCATTATAACTGTGCCAATTTATTCCAACAAGACTGTAAACCCTGTGCTCTGAAAATGGAATGGGGAGAGAATAAAAAATGTCTACACATAGATGTCAATGCAACTAATCAGAACAAAAACAGAGCTTCGTTTCAACTCACCTTGAGGTTTTTCCACCAATACTTTCTCTTCAGCTTCCCTGCAGACTGTTCAAACTGGGATGCACCTTGTTGCAGAGCATCTGAGTAGGACATGGGACAGTGAAAGAGGAAAGAAAGACCATGTCAGGAATGATTCCAATCAGAAGCACTTCAGGCATGTTCAAAGTTAGGGATTATTATTTAAAATTGCTGAAAAAAGGTTTATAATCTACTTTCACTTTTGATTTTAATATTTTTCCAAATTTAAAATGCAGTTCAAGCTGAAAATAAAGCAAACAATGATCAATATAAACAGAAAAAGGAATTTAACCTAGTCCAGGCCATCTATATTAGAGCAAGTTGTATGCAAGTGCAGTAGAGTTAGATGGGATGAAAGTGGTTAGGAAGAAACCTTTCCAACTGTTCATTTGATATTCAATAGACATCAGTCACATTTTAAAGTTCAAATTGTCTACTAAGTGAGGTAAAGAGAAGTAACTTCAAAATTAATATTTGACCTTATGGGAACCATTTCACAGCTTCATCAAATCCTGTTGCAACAGTTTATTATATATTACCAACTTAGGATAGCTCCAAATAACTTGAAATCTTCATTTTTAGCATGGTGAATATGAATCTTCAGTTTAGCATGATCACATCTTCACACAAGGAATTTCTATTGAGCAAAAAATTTAAAAAATACATCTGCAAAAAGCTTTCTGGATTAGAAGGCACCAACAGGCAATCCTATAGACACTATAAAATGAGTCAGAACTAGTTGGGATGATTAGGAACTACTTTTATAGATATCCTGGACCAGGTACAAACATGAATGTATTTATTCGACAGGTGGAATTGGTGCAAGATTCAAAGATTTTCTAAATGGAGATAATAGAAAATAATGCACTAGATAGCGTCCACTGGCAAGGAAATATCTATTTTGAAGGTTATTCACAGAAAGTCAAAAGCCTGAGAGTTGATGACAGTAGGACTGAGATTCAGAGCCAACTGGATGAGCAAACGTTAGATGACTAGAGGGCTGCCAGTGGACACTATGTTCACTAGAATATGAGGTTGGACATGCATGCCAAGGGTCTTCCAAGCACATGAGCGATGAAAAGGAACATGCTAATAAGGAAGGGCAAGACAACAAGCAGAAAATGATGGTCAGCCCAGGAGGAATGAGGACATGGAGTGAACTTCGGTTGTGTCGTCTCTCTATATCAGAAGTTGGCAAACGTGCACTCTCATAACCCGAGTAGGGCACTTACTTTCTGCCCTCAAAACACAAATTAAGATTAGCAGAACCTTATTTTTTTTGTCAAATTTTAGATTGGATTGTATATGGAATTAAGGTTTTTCCTGGAGTTTTTTCAAATTAACTTTGGCTTGGTATGTGACACCTGACAAAAGAGAGCAGAAAACCTTCAGTAACTAAAAGTCTCTGTTAATACGAGTGTTATTCTTTAAAGGAGACAAAGACAAGTTATTCAAAACACTCTCATCTCCAGGGTTAGCATTACCAGCCAGATATATTATTTTGCAATCTGCAAACCTTCAAACTTTAATATTTCCCAGTACTCATGTCCAAAAATATGCTAAACCCTGCTCCATATGAGTGTCTCTAGGTCAAAGTGATACTTCAACAAAATCTGGAAAATTGAACTTGGCCCAGAAACTGTAAAGTGCAATGAAAGGAGTCTGAATATGACTTCAATTTTAGTCAAACCTACCCAATTTTAGAAATATGCAAGCAAAAAGAAAAGAGACTTGGTTTTGCTTCTGGCTCCACCTTCTATCTTTGAAATTAAAATATGAAATCCCAAGCTTCTGTGAATTAAAGGGACCCTCCAACATATGGGCAACCCAGCTTCCATGATACCTGAAGGAAATTCAGAAATATCCAGGCATCAATTATGAATCTCCACTACTTTCATTTGTTTATTTAGCCATCATTCTTCATGCCCAAAGAATCAATACGAAAGTTTCCATAATCAAGAAAAAGTGCAAATACAAAATAAATATTCTTCACCTACTGTGAGCATAAATTGAGCTGAAACGACTGAAAACCTTAGCAAAGCATCCTGTGATCAAAACAAAGTAAATGGTGAATCGCAAACATGCTACTCTCCCACATCTACAAGTCCTCATGGTATTGCATCTCTTTATGTCATATTTTGTAGTATTCATGGTTTTATGGAACAGATCAACTGTATAGTTCAATCAATAAGGGAAGACAAAGATTAGAACTTTTGAAGATGGGCTAATATGATTCCTAATCAGTCAATAAAACAGCTAGAAGGTTGCAATCAGAAACTGTCTCGATTTCGAACATTACCCTTACTTATATAAGAACATGCAAAGAAAAAAAAAGGAATATATGCATGGCTCTAAAATCTGGAACTTTGCAACCTTCATTAATATTATGAAAGTTAGATCCTTGCAAACAAATTACACCGTACAGTCACAACAGCATTGCATTACCTTCTCTGTGACCTTAAGAGACTCCTGTCTGCAGTGTCAACCGAGAACTAGAGTAAATGATGGGAGTTTAACACATGTAAAAGGACATATGGCTCATGCAGAAAGTATTCAACTGAGAGGATGTCAAATGAAAACAATGCAAGGTAAGACTTAAACACGTATTGTGCATTTCCAGCACCAAAGATCCCAATATTAGTTGAACTCAAGTATTATTCTGGGTATATTGAAGATATTGTCATTTAATGCATGGTTTAGAACTAGGGATGCTACATAATTATTTTCTTTTGTAAGGACAGAATAAGCTAATTATATTTTAAAATCAATCTTCTTGCTGAAGGACATCTGATTGAATTCAGCCATTGCTCATATGATCCGAAAGGACAACATGAGATAAAAGTGCTAAATAAGAAATTCATATTTTATTTATAGTAAGTCTGAGGTTATTAAAATCTCACTGGGAGATCTGACTTCGAGGAATGAATTTGGAGGCAATTAAGAATTTCTATCACCCTAGATAGCACATCCATAGCTAGTTCCTGGGTTTAAATAATATCCTTACTTCAAACTGACAACATTGATCTAAATATAAAGTGAGACTAGGAAATCAATAACTGCCTGGCATCCTAATGAAAGTAGCATAGAATCTTCACCGAAATTGCATATACTTATGAAAGAAACAAGGAGCTTCATTGGTGCAGATCATTCAAAGGAGTAAGAAAAAGGAATGCATGCAAAAATTTTTTCATGGAGTAGTGCAAAGAAACATGACATGACAAACAGCAGTGCGCATAAAAATACCTGCACGATCATCCAACTCTGACAACTTTGCATCACGTGTTAACACCTTTTCCACGTTCACTTTCATGATGTCTACGACCTTGGGGGAAGAGGAAAGGAGAAGAAGAGGGGGAAACAAGGAAGGAAAAGACAGGATGTCAGTTGGGCATGGCGTGCAACAGAAGAACATGACAATGTCAATCACACATGACACTTCGAGGTACTGCAGAACCACGAAAGAGAGAAAGGAATGGAGAGGACACTGCAACACAGAGCCTCATCCCTGCTCTCTCATTAAGGGAACACACCATACTATTAGGCTGCAAAATCACATATGGACCCAAGAAACTTGCAACAGAGATCATTGACTTTACAAGGATGCAAAAGAAGCTTTTTTTAGGTTGCAAGTTCCAAGGATAATAGGTTCCATATGTGCTGAGCCAAAAACCCCATTAAAAAAGAAATTTTAGGTGGTGAAACGGGCCAAAACAGATGGGTGCACAACATCCATTTGTCACTTACCATGATGGATGAAAATTAAATGAATACACGAAGTAGTGGGGCCATCTGGAGCATGAAGAAATAGCACCCAGAAAGGTGGCCAAATTTCTATGTGACACCTTCACCCAAGAGCCTACTCTAATTTTAAACATGCTTGTCAGAGAGCAAGGATGAAAAGGGGAGAATGAAGCGGCCATGTCAGCTTCACTCTAGTCAAGCCACTGAGAGAGGAGAGAAATCTAGAAGTCATTCAAGAGAAAGCCTCCCTTCCCCATGGCTGCTCCACCAACTAACCTGCTCGGTCGTCAAGTTCGGATAATTTTTGGTCTCGTTCCAGCACCTTCTCAACGTTCACACGCATTATTCCTACAACCTGTGTCAGAGAACAAGGCTTGAAATTACATTCTATCTTAGGTGCTTTGAGTACTCGCTCATCTTTCTTGCAAACATGATAATTATATAAGCTTAATTCCAAATATTCTAACCAAACACAGGAGTGATTCAACTTTCATGCTTTTATTGAAAGTATTAGGATTGTGTGCTGTACTTCCTAAAGGTTTTCAACAGATTGTTATGAAAATGTATATTATATAAATCGAGTTATTTCTCGCATTTTCCATCAAACCTCTGAAAAAGCGCATAAGCTCATACCAGGCTGGGTGCTATTTCATTCATCCTCCTGGGAATGAAACAGTTAAGAAAATGTTGCATATACATCAAAGACGAGTGAGCAAGGGTGAAACAGCCAGGACAGACAAAGCAGCCATATCAAGGTTGTTGACGTTCACTGGGAAGACTTTTGTGGTCTGTATGCCCAGGGGTTCTTAAAGGAATCTCAAGTGAGCCAAAGAGTCACAATGGCTGCTCCATCCACTAACCTGCACGATTGTCAAGTTCAGATAATTTTTGATCTCGATCCAGGACCTTGGAAACGTTGTCACGCATAATCTCTACAACCTAGGTCAAAGAAGGTTATTATTGCAACGACTCCAGAGTAAGTTTTGCTACATTACTGAGTCATTTTTCACTATTTTGTGAGATATATAATTTATTCAAATGACACAGCAACTGCCAAAGAGAAATTTGATGAGACACTGAAACCTGACGCGAAGTGAAAGAAGTGGACACTTTAAGAGTGCGAATAGAATGTCAATTTAGCCAAAGCTTAGTCAAGTATCTCATCTTTGCAATAAAATTTTCCTCAAACTATTTCCTAACTATTTCATTTGTAATCATGGAATGCTGCAGACTTATTACACTGGATTTAGTCTTCTTCCCCTTTGAATACATTTTGACAAGATAAACTATTTGCAAACTATATCTGGAAAACATCTTCCCTTGAACTTTCTGAT